CTCTAATTTAAAGAAAGGCACTCTTGTCTGACCCCTTTTATAAATTAAGTATGTACAGACTTGTATTTGTCTCTCACTATCAGGCACTAGGAATGAGGCACCGGCATCCTTTCTTTCTCTCATTTTCTTTCTTCTATCTTCTATTAGCCTTCTTTTCTTTTATTCTCAGTCTCATACGAGAACAGGTCTGAGAAGACCATCAACCTCAACTAATTGGATAGTCACCTTTGGTGACCACATAGTCATGTTTGTGGTGGTTTAAAGACTCCCTACTTGAGGTTGCAAAGAGGGCTATCGTGATATCTTGTGTACTGCAAGGCTTTAAGTGATCCACGTATATTTTCAAATCAGTAAATGGTTCCACTCCAGTGCAGTGGTTTACACATCAAATCTTCCTTGTTGGTGCTATGGTGATCTGTAGACAAGGCTGGTTGCCTCCTTCATGATATTCCTGTGGTGTTTTGATCCTATTGAAGGAAGTAGATATTGTGGTTCCAGTTAGATCTCATTTTAGTATGGTGTTCAGTCCACTATTATTCAGCATAGTGAAGTGATTTGGCTTCTTCCAGAAGGAATCAAAGTCCAGTTTGCTAGTAACTCTAAACATTACTTTTACCATTCAGATGACTTTGATTGAACCGAATTGTAATAATTATGCCCCCATGGACCAACTCAACAGAGATTTTCCTAAAACCGAAAGGAAAACTTTGGTATCCTCTTGATCCTAGGCCATTATCTGGCTCTAGTGGATATACTGAGCGAGTTCAAGAAAATGGCCAAACTATAACATGGCTGTGGAAAATTATAGACCTTAATATCAATAGTAATCTTTTGTTCTTGCAAATAGTGAAGGATATTTGGGAGAATGTATAGCATTTGTATTCTGGATAGAACAATGTTAATAAAGTTTATGAGTTATGGCAAGATTAATTTTCACTTCAGCAAGATGACAAAAGTGTCAAGGATACCATACTGCTCTCAAAAACCTTCAAAATGAATTAAATGTGTATCAGCATCTTACTAATTGACTTGACGGTGCAGAGATAACAACAAAAGTAGTTAGATCTGGAATGTTTTTTGTCAGGACTCAAGACTGAATATCAAGGTTTAAAATGTCAGTTGTCCAAGTATAAGAAACATGTCGGAAATGTCAGAAATATCATATTGAAATACTGTAAAAATTATAGACATGGTGGAAACATTGTAAATATGCAAAATATAGAATAATATTTTATGAAATGATAAAAGAAACATAGGTACACCCTTTTAAATTATTAACTTGTTCCAAATCTACTAAACAAAGCTAAGAAACTAAGGTTATAGAAAAAAGAATATGTTCAAAAGTTGCCCTGTAAACCTTACGATTCAGAGCTTCATGATAGAATAGTTAAAGCAAAATTTCACAGAGAATTAAATGGTTGTAATAGATCAACAAAATAATCTATTACACAAAGAAAACTAATATTTTTTTTGATAAAAACAACTTAACTTCATGCTTACAAAGAAAACTAATATTTAACTTCATGCTTGAAATGAATGTTTAGCTAGCTCAAAGTGGTAATCATGTAAAGGTCCGTTTCGTTCGCAGTCAGAATCGAAATCCTTCGGAATCGGAATCGGAGTGGTCTATTCCCATAGTCTATTTGGTTCAGACAGGAATGGGAATGGGAATTGGAATCAATAGGAATGGGATTTCATTCCCAAGGGAGGGGCAGCGAATGGCCATTCCCTCAAATGGGGGAATGCCATTCCAGCAGGAATGGGAATGGAATTCCGATTCCACTCAACCAAACAGTTGGAATCAGAATAGCGCATTCCGATTCCAATTCCAGACCCCTATTCCCCTGAACCAAACGGGGCCTAAGTTTGGTGAGCAATAACATTATTACTCCACATATCTACAATAATCACCAATTTATGTTATAATACTATCTCTTGTACTCCATATAGTGCTGGTAGTGTTCACTGGGGAATATGTATGCCATGCAAACTCTCTTATACTCCACATATTGCAAGTAGTGTTCATTGGGAAATATGTCAATTTCAGTAAAATTTCATGTCGCTACCTATGGAAATGAAAATATGTTGTTGAAATATTAGGGAAATTAGGGACATTTTAAACCATGCTGAATATGACCTTGTTCATGCCCATTACCTTGCAATTAGTGATACGCAATCCTTGACTGAGGTTTTTTTCATACGACAGAGAGTTTACTAGACACATGGAGAAAGTTCCCCTAAAGTGGACTGATCAGCTCTAGCTGTTGCTAGAGGTAGAAACATGGAATTTTGGGATGGATGTAGTAATAGAGGAGGTCATGTTCCTTTAACCATGGGCGCAAGTCATGATTGTAGTGGATGAGAGAGCTAGGAGTAGGTGGCTCAAGAGGACATGGTGTTCCTAGGAACACATTTCAGTGTCTGCACATGGGAAGGTATTCACATAAAGTTGGGACAGGTGGACTTAAGATAGAAGCAGTGGTTTCATATGTATTTCAGTTCATATAACTTTTTTTATCAATCACTATGAGATTTCAATAAAAATGAAGAGAAAAGAGTGAGAACAATTAAGAAATAAAAACAAAGAGAGGGACTCTTATCTCTCCCCAAAAGAACCCTTTTCTATTTCTACAATTGTGCCCAAAATAGTTGATCTCTTCCCACCGCTTGTTTAGCTAAAGCATCAGATAATGAATTAGCACTACTTTTAACCCATTGCAACCTCACTTTCATGTCTGTCAACCCTTTGCATCCACCCATAACCAATTTGGAATATCCTTCAATAATCAGTTTTCAATGTTCATGTTCCTTGCCCTTTGTACCCCTTCTATCAATGCCATAAACCCTTAAAGAGGCTCCTACACCTATTGAACCTGAATATAAAGCAGTTATTATGCCCTCTTCATTTCTAAAAGCACCTCCTATACCTGAAATGCCCAGATTTCCCAGGCTGCTTCCATCAAAATTGAGTTTAATGAACCCCACTTCCAGTTCATATAACTTAAGATTATAGCAGTTAGAGGTGGGTAGGGGTGCTCACGGTTCGGTTAACCAAACCGTGGGGCATTTTTGGAACCGAACCGGTACTACCGGTTTTTGGAAAACCGGTAACCGGAACTGAACCCAAGCCAGTCGGTTAACCGGTTGACCAGTTCGGTTAACCATCGGTTCGGTTCGTCAATTTTTCGGTTTTTTAGTTTTTACAATAATAAATAATATATTATAAATATATATTTATATATAATGCATATTTATTAATTTGTAATATATAAAAAATATAAAATATATATAGAAATATATGTATAGGTCGGTTCGGTTAACCGTCAATTTCTATATTGGTTAACTGAAACCAAACCGGTGCCATCGGTTTTTTAAAAACACCAAACCGAATCGATCGGTTCGGTTAACCAATTTTTCGGTTCGGCTTCGGTTGGTTTTTTCGGTCGGTTCGGTTTTTCGGTTTTTTTTTTGCTCACCCCTAGAGGTGAGAATAATTCGGTTAAACACACAAAAAAAAAAACGAATTTTCAGTTTTAGTCTTTTCGGTGATTACTTCAGTTTTAGTTCCTCAAATTCGGTTTTTGGAAGCTTGTATATCGATTTTAGTTATTACATTTAAAAGTTCGGTTAACCGAAAAAAAAAACAAACTTTTAAATGTGTAATATATACAATAATATTATAAATGTATTATGTGTGATATATAATATTATATATAACAATAACCAATTTATTTAATCAAAATAAATAGTTAACAGAAAATTTTTTAACCAATTTATTTAACTGAAATAAATAGTTATGTGTAAATCATCTTTAATATTAATAAATATTTCTGGTCCATGAAAAACCACATTTAAATCCAATTTAATATTAATAAATATTTCAATTCAGTTATTTTGATTTTTCCAAAACTCAGTTTTGATTCAGCTTTCATTTTAATAAGTCCGGTTATTTAAATGGTTTTTTCAGTTCAGTTTGAACCGAACAAACCAAATTCTCAACCCTACACTGATAGTGGTGACTACCCATTGAGTAATTATGGGTTTTCTCTTTTATTTCCCCAACCCCATTTCACTTTTGCAAGAAACCACTACAGCCATCAACAGCTTATAATCTTGGAAGAAATTCAACATCCATAAAAGACTGAAACTAATTTAGGTACATTTTTCTTTATTTTTCATTGAGGCCCAAAATTTTCCTGTTTCAGACATTTTCATCCTTTGTGCTAAACCAAATCCAAATGCTTTTTTTGTAATAAAATAAAATTTATTAAAAGAGAAAAAGATACAAGAAAAGTGACCAGAAGTCGCACAAGAGAAGAGCCCTTCACCAACCACAATCCAATACACCAAGCCCTCAACAACACTACCAAAATTAAAGACAAAACAACTAAACCCAACACAAATTACCAAATGAACACGACAAAAGAAAATTTATGCCCACTCGCTTCCACAACAACAGACTTTCTGACAAACACCAAAAACAAAACACTTAACACCAAATCAACACCTCAACTTTGCTCAATTGTGCTGCAGCTGCAGAGACTTGACAACAAAGCACTTCACCATATCCAATTCTTTCACAACCTTCCATCTACGTAACATGTATCCCAAAATTCAATGTAATTATACATTTTGAAATTTTTGTAGTTTATCTCACAAAGGTATATTTTATCATTTTGGGAAAATCTATCTCAGAATAGTTTGAAATAAATCACCTAAATCCACCATTCCTTCTAGTCCAGAAAATCATTGTTAAACTGTTCCTATTTCAATTACCACCTTAGACTCATCCTTCAGCCATTCGAGTTATACATCCACTAGCACCAAAGTGGTTGCTCCTACAACAATTTGGCAATACTAGAGCAGGACTGTACAATCAAATTGTGCTTATCAAATGGGGAAAAAAACTCATCTTTTGGAAAGTGAACCAAAATTTGGTTTTGCTTCCAAGTTTAGAGAGAGAGAGAACAATAATAGAAACGTCTTATATTAATTTTTACCTGACCAAAATTGCCTATGTCTACAGCAACCTGACTGTAATTCTCCCACAATTGCCAACTGTTGCGTCTGCCACCATGTTACAGCTAGTCAGCATAATGAATGAAATAAATACAACTCAGGAGATATTCCAAGCATAAAAAGCAATTTTGAAAGAAGCTATTTGATTGATCTCTCCATCATTAACCAGTCAAAGATTTTACTTTCTAAGCTGGTAATATAATCTGTCAATCAAGGGTACAATGGGACTCTATTGAAGGGTATTGTAGACATTGTCAAGCAGGGTTGAAGTAATAATTTTGAGCCATAATAATTGTATCTATTAAAGAAGTTTGTTGAGTCATAAGCCAGGCCTGGGAAAAGTGGATTCTTAAACAGTAAACAGAAAAATTAGGCATGGAACCAGAATCCTGGAAAATTGAAGTCAACAGTCAAATTATGGAAGACTGTTGTATTCCCTAGCTAATGAGTACTTAATAAACAACAACAACCAACCAAGAAATAGGGAACACCAAGAGTAATTAATGCAAGAATATACCAGTGATTTAAAAGACACGCCAAGGTGAATAGACGAGACACATTTTAGGGTATGCGCCACGCCTAGGTCCTAGGCACAGCCCTTTCAAAAGGCGCACACCTGGTGCACCTAGGGGTGTGCATGATGCGCCTTGCACCTCAGTTCAGGCATGCACCATTATAGAATTTTATACTTTTTAACTTTTTTGCTTTTTCTGAACCTAGCGTCTGGGTTGGGGCTCGACCCCCGACCACACCCCTCAAGGCAAGCCCAAATAAGTCCATGTTAGGGTCTTAAATTCTTAATTCTCACATAAAAATAATGATTTCTATAATTTTAATTGCCTTTTAAGAATATATTTTAATAGAATGAATGAATGAACCACATTAGCAAATAAGGGGTTCTCGGAGCTTCAGTGAGCGAGTGAAGTTAACCCCCTATTTGCTAATGTTTTTCATTCATTCATTCTAATAAAATTGTTGGAAAGGGATGACGAGGATTATTCCTTGCGGAATCCGAGTCAGAATCTTTCCTGTTTTTTTAGTTATTTATTTTCTTATTTAGGCTGTGATTATTTTCCTTTTTTTTTAGGCTGTGATTTAGTTTCCTTTTTTTCTTTAGGCTAAATTAGTGGGTTAGTTTCCTAGAATAGCTCCTAGATTGATTCTTAGAAGTTGTATATATTTGTACAGATCTTCT